GCGACTGTTGTATAATGAAAGCAAGTGTTGTAAGATAATGCGACAGGATCGTGCGAGTGATCACGTGATCGGACCATTGAACGTGCGCCAATGCGAGTGGACGTGCGGCTATCATGTGTTCCATGGTACGAATGCTTGCGCGAGTCAGAGGGGGTATACTGTATGTGTACATAAATTGGCGTATTCAAAATTAAGCGCAATCGCTGGGTTTGGAGTTGTTCGCGTGATCATGAATTAGCGCTACACATGTCCGTGCATTGTATTGTATTTATACATGATTTCTTAGCGGTATTTATGAATGAGCTCATCGTTGTCTGCGCCAAAGCCGCTAAAATATGAAGCCTTTTCAAAAGTACTCATACAGTATATGATACCCGTTTTCGATTTTGGAAAGCAGTAATGTACTGTTGGTCAGAAGTTAGTGGAGCACTAATATCACTAGAATTACTGTTACAAGTACGCATGGGAAATTGAAGCTGATAAATCGTGCAATGATAGTATTAAAACGTTGCAAGATTACATGAGACACGTTGAGCAACAGTCCCATGGTCGCAAAATACACGCATAGACAACTGCGATTCATCTTACAACTTTAAAAATCGTGCATCACTTGCGAGTACACAAAATGTTGTAAGACGTTCGTACTAATGTTCGTGCGTTGCATTGCGATAATTTGGATCGCATTCGGTCGCGTCTGAATAGTGTGCATGTCCAGTATTTTGAGGAGACTTGGTGCGACCACTAAAACGCATGCAACGAATGCGAGCCATTGTGCAACGTATGCGAGAGCTCTTGCGAAGCTAAAACATTCAGATCGCAGAGTGTTGTAAAGTGCTCGAAAAAGGTTTTTTATTCTAAAATTCGGCAAAGTAACAAAAGAAGTATTGTTTTTCCTATTCAAGGTAGAAGTCTCGATCAAGAGAAATATACTAAACATTCAGTATATTTTTTTCCTTATGACTTTGCTTTTGTTATGTAATGATATTGCGAAAATCCCGGTCCAGAGTTAAGCGTAACTTGTCTGTCAATTTTTCATCTAAACTGTAGAAACATACAAAACAAAATAGATAAAATAACTAATTACTTTGAATTGAAAGATATTTTTGCTTTACCGAGACTCATTTGAGTGATCTTGTAAATACAGAGAATTTGACAATTGAAGGGTACAACTCTCCATTAGACTCTCCATTTAGATTAGATAGAACTAGTGTTGACGGTGGAATTCTTGTTTATATAAGAGAAGGCTTAGAAGCTCTGAGACGGCGAGATCTCGAAAATGCGTTTGACGAAACAATTTAGGTAGAAATTGATTAAGCTAAAATAAAAAAAGCGTTTTTCTATGAACTATTTATAGACCTGAAACATCAAACTTAAGGTTGATTTCTGGAACAGGCTTGTAATTTCTATTGGAAGGGCTATAGATGAATCTAATAATTTAGTATTGAATGGGGATTGGAAAATAGATTTCAGTAAAAACCTTCCAACTTATGTTTGTTTGTTTGTTTATTGTTGTTTAACGTTGACCCCTCTCAAGAATTTTTTACTCATATGGAGACGTCACCACTTGCCGGTGGAGAGCTGCAAATTTTGACCTATACTCGGCACTAAGGCCATTGAGCAGTGAGGGATCTTTTTCGTGCCAGCACCTACTGCGACACGGGACCTGAGTTTATACAGTCTCATCCGAAGGACCGGTCTCCACGTCCCACAGTGGGATTCGAACCCGCGACAAATGGATCAACTCCTTACTCTGCGACTCTTAGAGCAAACGTATGTAATTGATATAATTATGACATATAACCTTAAAAACTATATTACCTAGCCAACAAGAGTGACAAATGCGATACGACATCAACTTGCATTGACCCCATACTTATTACAGATACCCTGTGTGATAAAACAACCTATTATTATACTCAAACTAGATAGAGCGATCAAAAATACGTATGTTCAAAAAATTTTCCTGTACAAAAAAAGCAAATTTTGATCAATTTATAAAGGAAAGATTTATTTAAGGTTACTAGGCTTTCAGATAACACTCAGTGTTCTTGTGGATATATCAATGTAAACACTGAACAATTCTTCCTGTATTGTAAAAATTATGCTGAAATAAGAACAGAATTATAATTTCACTTCATAAAAAATAACAAAGGAGCATTAGACTTTGACATAATTCTATTTGGGTACACAAACCTGGGTCAACAAAATAATATCAACATTGTTAAAGCCATACATAAGTATATTAAAAAATCGGAAAGATTTTTATGAAAAACCAGCGTAACCATTCTGTATCTTTTACAACCCCTTTCTTCTTTTTTCTCTCTTTGCACTCCTATTCCCTTCCTTTCTTATTTCTTTGGACCTTTATCTTCTTCTTTTTTTGTATTGTACATTTGTTGGTTGTACATCACGTGTATATATATATGTCATTTTGTTTGTCTTGGAGAGGCCAATCTAAGTTGGTATAACTTGTGTCAAATCCCATTGATTATGTTTCAATAAAATATGTTTAAATAAAAAAATCCTATGTATATTATTTTATCGCACCAAACGTATTTTACAAGGTCATTTGTACCGCTGAAGTTATGATGAATGTTATCATTAACTTCTAAAAAGACGATCATTCTAGAATTATGTGAAGTTTTGATAATTGTTTTCAAGCGGAGATCTTACTCCACTAATTGGGTAATTGTACAGTGTACATGTCATGCATAATCTCTAGAAAACTTTAAAAACAAAATATATTTTTGAAGATAAGTATTTGTCATTTAAAAGGAAAGAGATGACGTCATAAAACAGGAACTAGCGAGACATTTTTATTTTGCACCCGGGAAAAAACCCACTCCGGAATATACTCTTAAAATGCAGAAGGAAGCAGGAAATATGTCTTTAAAGGCACAGTTTTTGCGTGGTACAGACTCTTTATCAGACGATGGACGGGGAAACGGAGTAACACTAGTGGAAAGGCGATGGACGCTTCACTGTTGCTCTATCCTGTTAAAGCAGAGACAAGGAGTACAAGAATTGTCGAATTTATTTACAAAGTAAATGTCCAGTTATATAGAAAAAATCTAAATGAGTTAATATGACAGCACAAACTGTGTGTGAAATGTAAAGAGTGTCAAATTCAGTAACATGAGTTCCATATATCAAATTAAATTAAACTTCCCGCAGAAATATTTGAAAATTTGTTGATCTTGAAATTCTTTAAATGATTATGACGATGATTGACATTGTTCGCGTATTTTTCGAACAACCCTCGTGATTAAAGACATGTGCATCTCACAAATGTCCTTTATAGGTGCTATAAAATCATTAAGAGAGAATTTTTTTCAAGACAGTGTGCTAATTGTCAAAAATCCTGAATAACCCACATTTAAAAGTTCCTTTATAATTTGGAATAAATTAAATATACAGTTATCTTGTTTGTAGATAGACTCTCACAACAAATTTAACCAATTCATTATAGTGACTATAAAGTAGTTTATTTTTGATAGAATCCATACTTTATAAAACTAATTTGTAAACTTATTTAGTTATTCTCTATCCACGTACATGACAATTCTTGAAAGAATATGTCTTTATGCTTAAAAGTTTACTTATCAAAGGATTAATTTCAGAAAACAAAAATGAAACTTTTATTCTTTTATTTTAAATGCTATAAATATTATTTGATTAATAATTTTGCCAGATCCAAATGATTGTTCAGAATGCCAAAAAGAATGTCCTTTGAGTACAACTACATCCACAAATGAGGTGTCTCAGCAAGCTGGGACTGAAACTATTACAAACATAGGTTTGTATGCACATATCATTACAATTTAAAATAAAAGCTATATTTAGTTTATTTCTATGCCTGATGCAAAATATAAAATAATAATAATAATAAAAAAAAACTCTCACTTAGGACGGGCTTAGTTCCGATCTCATTCCTAGCATCTCTCATATTATATCAAATTCAATACGTTTAAGGAATAAATGTCTATCCAGAGGGGACGGGTGGGTGGTCCGGATCCCCTGGAATTTTCAGAGCTATTAAATTTCTATATGTAAAAGTAACACGAAAAATGACCATGGATCCCCCTAGGAAACACTTACCCCTTTAAAAACTATTAGAAAAGTCATCTCTATGAGAAGAAAATTGACTCAGGAGAATGTCATCCCCTACATCCCCTCCACGAAATAGGTTTTTTTTTCCTTTCCTTGTCAAAAAATTCTGATATATATTTATTACAAATTCTAACGATTCTATTGTTAAAAAAATAATGTCCTACGGATCCGGTTTATTTCTTAAAGGAATTTTTCTTAAAGATCGTTGTCAATAATTATATTAGGCTTTTTGAAATTATATTCATTTATTTCTAGTTTTGTATGTTTGTTTGTTTGTATGTTGTTTAACGTCCCTCTCGAGAATTTTTCACTCATATGGAGACGCTAGTTTTGTATGAAAACTATGTTTATATACTCAAAAATACATTTCCCATCGGGATTTGTAGCGTAATCGGTACAGCGTTCGATTGAAGTTCTCAGGATCGTGAGTTCGATCCCTAATAGGTGCCAACATATTATATCCAGAAAAGACGGCCGCGCACTATTTGCTTACGCTATGAAAATTATTTGTATACTATGCAACTACTATGCTACTATGCGAAAATAGTTGCGTATTGTTTGTTTGAATGGAGACAAATTGACAAGTAGTATGTCAATAAAACATATCATATGTTAATTATTTTGTACATATTTTAGGTCAGGAATCGGCGTTGAAAAAACAGGCAATCAGAGGCATACGTGCATTCTTACATTATTAGTTCATCATTTCTAAGTTCATTATTTCATTGAAAATAGATTTTTACCCCAAAGAATTACTTCGAAATAAAGCATGAAAATCTATCTTTTAAAAATAAATTTAAGCACAGTATATTTTAAGTATTTTAAATTATACACTGCAGACTGCTCTGCTGGTGAGTATAGCTGGATCTACTATTGGAGGAGCTTTGTTCGGATCACTAGTTACAGTCATTGTCTTCATGCTACACCACCAGATACATAAAAAGCAAATAAGGTACGTTGAAATACAGTGATGTTCTGCCATTCATTTATTTTTAAGGTAACCAATTATTCCCGGATTAAGATTTAAAATAAAATATAAAAACGAGTTTAAAATGTTGAGAAAAGGCCTTAGAAAGATATTGCGCATTTTGAATTTATGGTCTTAATGAAATGTACATTATTTTTAAAAGAAATTTTGTATAATGCTTTTAATCTCCACAGTCTTGATTAGAAACATTTTTTTATCTTATAACTGATTGGACTGTTCCTTCAGAAAACCAGTCTCAAAAGTTTTGCAAAACCCGGTAAACCAGGCAGAGATCATGTGTATAAACGAAAAAGCTGGAGAGGAAGCCAACACGAAGGGCGTGTACAGTGAAATAAAAGAAGTAAGAACACACACACCCACACACCCTCACACACTGCGTATGATACTATTTTATTCTTCATTAATTGCTTTTTAAAAATATATAGATAATATAGAAATGTGTACCAGTCACTGTTAAAGTAAAGGAGTAATTCACAAGTACATGATTTCAACATATACATGAATAGAAAAAAGCAAGTGAGCATATGAAAACTTAAAAAAAAAATAAATAATAAAAACAAGCAAATTAAAGAATTGTGGTCCCATGCACGCTTTCGGTGTCTTAGTGGATGGAATGTCATTATTTATGGCATATTGTAGCTGTGTCCTGTCTTACCTGTGCATTATGCAAAAAATATTGAATTAATAACAGTTATGGCAAAGATTATAGCTTCTCAAAACTACATCAAACCTCAAGATCAATGTCATGAGGTCAATGAGGTCAAATATCATAATAAAATCCAAAAAGGTCTTGTCACCATTAATGCTCATGGGAAAATGTCAAAAACCAGAGTATACGGTGGAGAAGGTTTTGAAACAGGTAATGCAAATGTAAATGCCACATCTTCTCTCAATCAAAAGTTATCATTTATGTTAATTTTTTTGAAAATTAGGTCAAACTTGAAGGTCAAGGTCACGGGGTCAAATATCATAGCACATTCGGAAACATTTTGATACAGGTAATACACTTATTAAATATGAAAGCCCTATCTTTTCTCAATCAAAAGTTATAAGCAAACATATCTGAACGCCCTTTCTTCACTGCTCAATGGCCCTGAGTGCCGAGTATAGGACAAAATTTGCATCTCTCCACCGGCAAGTGGTGGCGTCTCCATATGAGTTAAAAATTCTCGAGAGGGACGTTAAACAACATACAAACAAACAAACACATTTCATTCAAAAGCAATTACGAAAGTTAAAAGTTTTGAAAACATGAAGGTCAAGGGGTCAAAAAATCATAGCATGTTCGGAAACTTCTTGTCACAGGTAATGCACATGTCAAAGATGAAAGCCCTATCTTTTCTTAATCAAAAGTTATAAGCAAAGATAAATATTTTGAAAAGTAAGTCAAACTTCAAGGTTAAGGGGTCAAAAAACCATGGGATATCTAGAAAGGTCTTGTCACAGGTAATGCACATATGTAATATATTTTCTCATTCCTATTTTATGACCAATTTAAAGTAATGTTAAAATTTTTGAAAAGTAGCTCAAACTTCAAGGTCAAAGTCACAGAGTCAAAAATCATAGTATATTTGGAAAGGCCTTGTCACAGCTAATGCACATGTCGAAAATTTTCTCAATCAAAAGTTATAAGCAAAGATACATTTTTTGAAAAGTAAGCAAACCTTCAAGGTCAAGGGGTCAAAAACCAAAGTATATTTGGAAAGGTCTTGTCACAGGTAATACACAGGTATAATATTAAAGCCATATCTTTTCTCATTCAAAAGTTATGACCAATTTAAAATAATGTTAAAATTTTTGAAAAGTAGGTAAAAGTTCAAGGTCACGGGGTCAATGATAATGCACATTTGAAATATGAAAGCCCTACCTCTTTTATTCTCCAGTTATGACCAAGGTTAAAGTTTTTGTTGCAGACAGACTGATAGACGCACACACAGACAGACAGACTGACCGACGAATGAGATTTAATGTCTTCTCGCTTTCGCGAAAGCGGGAGACAAGAAAAAAAATTAACATGAAGAACGCAAATATATATACGAGGGTTGTTAGAAAAGTTCGCGGACAAGTTCTATTGTAAGTGCACTATTTGCATGAAATCAGTAAAACTCTGCTGGTAAAACTTATACGCATTTTCCTATTAATATGCAAAAATTTAATGTTTTCCGATGATCTTTAAAAAATAACCGGCGAAATTATTTAGATAAAACATGCTTCACAGAGCATGTAGCTTTTTCGCATTTTTACATTTCAGAGACATAAATTTGAAATTAAAAATTGCACTGTTGTAGCGCATAAAGATTTGTGATATTTTACCTCTCGCTAAGATATTCATGAAACGCCATTTAGCGAAATTTTAATTTAAATTGGAAGAGTTATGATTGTTTTATCACTAATTATAGATGATCAATGCGTAAAACAAAGCCAAAAAATGGTAAAGTCATTGAACGTCTTGGAGCACTGAGTTATTCAAAAAATAATGTGTTCAGACAGTAAAATGCCTGAAAGAGACTAAAATACTTTTTAGATGCTGCTGGGGATGGCTTACATGTATCTAGTACCAAAGTGTTCAGGTGGTAAAAACTTAGTAAGAATGGAAGGATGAACATTTTTGATTATCAACTCCTGCGATACCCAAGTATCCTGCTCATTGCATGGACGTTGCGTTTATGGGTTTTGCATTGTTTCTCATATCTGATCGCTGAACTGCGTAGGCATTGTTTTAAAGATCTCACTAATATCCTATAAGCCACAAAAGACATTAAAAATATATAATATGTCTCTATATACTTATTCAAATTTTAAGTCAGAAAAAGACATGAAAAGTCTATAGAAAGGAAAGATATTTAGAACTGTGAAAAAGCTTCACAGGTCCGGAATCATGTCGCGTCACCTAACGTCATAAAAAGTCAAGTGATTGCTCCGTGAATCCTATGACTGCGCAGTAAAAATCAACGTATATTTTCAAAATTTTAGTAAATGGACCTAATCTTTTGCATACTTATAAACAAAAGATAAGAATTTAATTAGACATACGTCGTTCTTCAACGTTTACGATATATTTCTGTAAATTAACGTGTTCGCGGACTTTTCTAACAACCCTCGTATATATATTAGGGATGGCAACGAATATTCGAACATTCGAATATTCATTCGATGAGTTGATATTCGAATATGAATTTAAGATTCGAATATTCGGTGTTTTTCAGATTTCATAAAAAGATGTACTGTGATTAATAAATTTTGATTAGAACAGTGCTGGGATTATCCCTGTTTAATTTACTAGCGATCAATTTCGATCGGCTGATTTCTTTCACTACTTTCTTATCTTATAAATTTTCTAAATTACATGTATTTGGTTTTGAGTAAGGTGTTGTAAAGAATTGTACAATAATGCTTTATGTATAATACAAAATGTACTTTCATAGCTTTTATTAGTTATAGATACGATCGGATCTAGAATCGAGGACAACAAATGAAATCTAAGAATATAAAGGCGTGAAGAGTGTACTTATCAAAATAAAATTAATTGATCATTGAATGAATGTCCGTTAGAATTAATCTGTAATTAATATTGTAAAGGGCTTAATTTCAGAATAAATGTGTAAATTACTTGATTATCTCGGGTTGTACATAATTTATATTCATTATCGGGAAAACAGTTAATTACCTAGGAAAATCGTCTATGGAAATATTTGTTTACATTGTATCAAAGATTATAATCATTTCTCTTATCAGGCAGATAATTGTAATTTATTACACGTATTGAAATCTGAACAGTGTACCGTTACGGCTATACTGCCTTTTGTGAGACGACTGGTTCCTCAGGTGGGGCTACTATAAATACACGTTTCATTAGTTAAAATTATACGTTTCTACATTTAAATCAATTATTTATTTCAAACAATAACAAATATCAAATGGAATTTCTTATTGTACACCTACAAAAGTCTTCATACAATTTTACTTCCTATATAAGTATACCTACGAGAGTAGGATGATGCATATTTAAAATAAAACAAATTTTATTTATTTTATCGAATATATATATATATAATATATAAAATTATGAATCAGATACATAATTAAAATTTAACAAAAACTCAACAGATCGAAATGAAACAAAGATTTAAAATGTGTCAAAATGTGTCAAGAAAATTGAACCATTGGTCTCAGATATTTTGGAGATTTTAAAAAGAACTAAAATCCTCCACTTGTCACTGTCTGAAATTGTAAGAAGTATAAAAGTATAAATTTAAACTGTTTATATTGATTGATTGATTGTATATTGTTTTACGTCCCATTCGAGAATTTTTCACTCATATAGAGACGTCACCATATACCGGTGAAGGGCTACAAATTTTGACCTTTACTTGGCACTTACGGCCACAGAGCAGTGAGGGATCTTTATCGTGCCAACGCCTGCCGTGACACGGGACCTCGGTTTTTAAGGTCTCATCCGAAAGACCCGCAGCTTTCACTTCAAAGTGCCGAGCACATAGCGAAGGAACAGCTGCCACCCATTTTTTATCGAGATTCGGACTCACGACCTCCCGATCACAAAGCGAGCGCTCTACCGACTGAGTTACCGTGAACGGTAAATTGTTTATAAGTAAAACAAAGAAATTCAGATATGGGCTTATTATTAACTGGAAATAACAAAAAACTTTGGATGTAAAATGTTGTTAAGAGAATTATATCTTGATAATTAATGCAAAGGTTATACGAAATAAGACAATTAGCGTATTTATGCCATTATACATATATAATTCTCCGGTAGCAGGTACTTAGAACGTTTATGTTGGAAACTTCCCATTAGGATTTACAGACAATTCTGATAATGAAATAACTAGAGGACCAGCATCACTAGCAAGTCTAGCCTTCAGTTAAGCAGCATAAACGTTGAAATAATCAGATTAAGAAAATAGCTAACTGTAGTGATCATATCCACATAGAATTATTGCTCCTTATAATTAGTTGGCATATATTTTTCAGCAAAAATCCATGAAGGCATCTCAGGCAGAATCTAATGATAGTATGTACAATCACTTGAATGAAACAGAGACAGTGGACAGAGGTGAGTACTACGATCACGCCAGACCAGGACACTCAGTATCGACACCATCTGATGGGTGCGGAACTGTGACTGTGGATTACGATCATGCCAGACCAAGCCATTCAGTATCAACACTAGCTGATGGGTACGGTACAGTGACTGTGGAGTACAGTGGAAATGATAAATGTCCAGAGGATGAAAAGTCAATGATTTATAATGATAAATTAGGCGAAAAAGCCAAAGCAGATGAATATTTTGTGCTCGAAAAAATACAGTAAAGTATCCCATACAACTGATTAAGCTTTGCACTCAAGCTATAATAACTTTAATAGTTTTAAACTGAGGTAAATATTTTGTTTCATATAAAATGTCAATGTATCTATAATTGTGGATATTTCTATATGTAATGCTGTTGTTTATAAGTGCACTTTTTATTCATGTTGTCTATGTGAAATGACTGAAGATGTTTGGAATAAAGAGTATCTTTTAAATAAAAATACCCTTTTTGCAAATCGAGTAAATGGATCTAAAATTAAACAGGTCTTCATCACATTTGCACCAAACTTTACTCTCTTCCTTTGAAAGTTTTGAACAGTCTTTTTGTAAAATTCAAGGAATGTCTATATTTGGATTCTTCGACACCAGAATACAGGCTCGGATCTGTGATAATGGATGTTGCAAATCACAGGCTCTTTAAACCACCACGTTTCGCGGAAGAAAATACCGCTCAAACAACCCTCTTGTTCCTTAAACTTCAATATACCAACAAGAAATTGACGCAGTTAACATAAGTAATATTCTTATTCACAAAAAGGCCCAGGCTTGTATTCCACGATGGTTCAAGTTGAGGTTCACACCTTGGATTTCGTACAAATATACATCGACAATTTCTTTTAATTATAAAAAAAATTCTACAATGCCTACTTAATATCGAGCATCTGAAACATAATCCTCCAACATGTTCATGTTCGCCTTCACCCTACAAATATTGTCCCACTGGACACGTCATTACTGGTGACGTCAATATAGTTAATTATGAGGACCTTAAACCAATTAATTAAGAGGGTAAAAGTTTAGGGAACCCCGTTTTTTCAAATGGCGTCATAATTTCATAAATATTATGAGTTCAGTAGAAGATTACACCAGACGATGGGCAAAATATGATAAAGACACATTACCAGACTGGATTAAATGTATCAGATGGACGTTGAAATCGCCCATCAAGCGATTGAGAGGCAATATGAAAACCATCTATTCTTCTGTCTTCGACAATGCAGAAGTGAAACAAGAATCAGATAGATTACACGATCAGTATGTCCTAGTCCCCGCTGTCAAATTAAGTAACAACGTCGTCTTTGTTTGTAAGGCTCATTATTTGAATTGTATTTTAGAGGAGCAAGTATTTAATTCTGCATGTTGTCAATCAACTTTTACCAATAGTTCCCTTTCTAGGGAGGAAGTTCCTCAAAACCATATGTCAGATTTAAATACTTTTAATATTCCCAACAATCAAAATGAATTTGAATTATCGTACCTATACTGGATTTAAAACTCCTTAAAAATCCTGAAAAACAAAGAAACATAGTACGTTCCAAGTAAATGTTCTATCAAGCCTCTTTCTTTATTTCTCACTAAAATATTTACATCAGTGGAGAACTTCAGGAGTACTGTACAACAGTATATTTGAGAATTGGTGTAATTTGAAATCACAGAATTTTAACAGAATCAATAAGATCAAAACGTACGACTTTTCAACGCTTTATACAACCATTCCCCGCGATAAATTAAAGTCCAGGCTTTTTGACATTATAGACAGCTGCTTTTTTTTAAAAATAAAAATGGAGGTTGTCATTGGTCATTTGCAAAATTATTCTGTTAAAGAAACATTCTTATTGTACACACAAGTACTATGAATTTGATATTAAAAATATGCTGGAGTTTCTGATTGACAATATCTATGTAGTTTTTGGAGACCAGGTCTTCCAACAATGTATTGGAACTCCCTTGGGTACCAATCGCGTCCCTTATAAGCAGGCCTATTTTTGAATTCAAATGAAGCAGGATTTATTCAAAAACTTCTACATGAGAAGAAAAAAAACACTTGCTGTGGTCTTCAACTCGATATTAAGATACATGTTTATCGACAACGTTTTATCAACTAACAATAGAGATACTTCCATTCATATGTCAACTCTGTATATCCCAGTGAGCTTGAAATAATAGATAAGACAGAGTATGACATATTTGTTTCATATTTAGATATTTTACTAGAAAAAGACTTTAATGGTAACCAAACAACAAAGCTTTATGATAAACGCTATGACTTCAATTTTTCAATTGTCAACTTAAGGGGGCTCTCTACAACGTCACAACATGGCGTACTTTCGTTTGAAACGCCATTTTGGTCCGAAATGAACTGATTCTGTCCTAAACAAATTCACAGAACACCGATAAATCACCGGGTATAACACAACATGCGAGATGTATACTAACTCTATTTTGAATGGAATCTAAGAAAATCCCATCTAGGCGACGAGAGTGGCCAATGTAGCCATTCATTAAACATGAATTGTTTGTCAATATATTCAGTTTCAACTTTTTTATTCATAAACAATATAATTCATTAAAAAAAAGTAATAAAAAGTTAATATGATAAACCAAAGCCTTTTCACTATGATATTTGATCATTGCGTGTCAAACCCACTCATATGTTTCCATAAAGAACTAAATTGATGCTTCTCTCAAAAAGCATATGCTTTCCAGCGAAATATATCCAAAAATGAAAATTTAAACAGATAAAGCATATATATGACCTTCCAATCGCCTAGAGGAGACACCCTGTTCCCAACAAGTATACACCCCGTATGTATGGTTATACCCGGTGAAATTGAAACTTTTCGTGAAATCATCAAAACGCTTCGATAATAAGTGGAATTATAATAACTCAAACGTTTGATCAAAATCGATTATCAGTTGTTATGTATCGAAAACGTGCAGATTTGAAACAAGTAGGAATTTCGTTATATGACTTTCTTTAACCCGCTTTTGACAATTTACGTGTCATGTCATCCGTAGCACAGGATAATACATGTATATACAAGCTGGATGAAAACGGTAAGTAAATCTACCTTTCTCAATACTATGAATTCCCTTTAAATGTTTTGATTAGAAACGTGTGGGTCTTCGCTTAAATTCATTCAAAAACAATACAATACGAACTTCTTTCGATGTCCTAGTTTGGCATGTACCTAATAATTCCTTTTTTCAATACCTGTGCAAGTTTTAGAAGAATTAGGTTAAATATATTTGAGCCCAAGATATTTGAACCCACCCTCTAAACGGATCTTTGACACCTAAATTTTTGTGATGGTTAAGATTTCGTCAATTTTTCAATTTCATCAAATTCTTTTTTTCATCCTTTTAACCCTTTGATATTATATTTATTTTCAGATTTTGCAAGAAATCCGACCTGTTCTTCTCATGAAAATGCTGTTTTAGTTTTTCTTTTGTCTATTATTGTAAATTCAAATAAAAATTATGTAGATTTAATTTATAACTTTGTTGGTTTTCATTTCAAGATTTTATAAAATTAAACTTTGAATAGAAAATTAAAGCATAAGGCTTTTAAAAATAACGAATCAAGGGGTTTCTACAAAACATATTAAATATTTAAATATTTCCAAAAAATAAAGTTAAATACTTTGGAGCTTTATTTTTTTTGGATATTGAGTCTATTATTAGAAACAAATGCATGAAACAAAAATCATATATACTTCATAGGTGTAGAGATCCTCCTTAACTTACTTATGCAGCAATATACCTTCATGACCAGTATACGGGGTTTTGTCTCTCTGTTGATTCGAAATGCAGAGGCATGTTCTACATATGAACAATCTCTAAAACGATACAAGCTACTGAGCAACAAGTTTATGAAACAAGGATATCAACAGTCTCGTTTGAAGTTGTCATTTCGCAAATTTTATGGTCGATACAATGACCTTGTCAGCAAATACAATTTATGATCATTAAGTCAAATACTGACTGACGTTTTTCATACTTATTGTTAGGCCATTATTTACACACTGAATTGTCTACGGATTTTACTTCTTTTTTTCCCCGATCATGACAAGGAGTACACGTCGGGTGTCACCGGTTGGCAGGGGATGCTCACTCCCTGATCCCACCTAATGTTTTTGGAGGCCTCTGTTTGCTCTGCTCTCGATTTGTATTGTTTAAATTGACTTTGAGATTGAATATTGTTCGTTTTCTCGATGTTTCATCTTAAGAGTGATACAAATAAGTATATATGTTCATGTGCAACAAGTCAATAGCTGCTAATCCGAAAAGGAAAAAAAAAATCTTGCCCCCACCATTCCTAATTGTATGCCTATTATTTCGAGGATAATATATCCGTTTTTTACAGGCCTGCATCACCTTAAAAAAAAAGAAAGAAAGAGGAAAAAACGCATTCATCAGTCTGAATTCATTCATACGTCGACTTGATATATCACAGTGTACTTGAAATGAAAGATACCACAGAATCTGAAACATCTGTTTCATATTTGGATATTTTACTACCAAAAGACGTTAATGGTAACCTACATATAACAAGAAAAATGTATGAAAAACGTGATGACTTAAACTTTTCTATCATAAACTTTCCTTATTTATGTAGCAATATACCCTTATCATCTGCATATGGATTGCATGTTTTCCCGTCGATTCGATACGCAACCGCATGCTTTACGTACTAACAATTTCTAAAACAAGGCAAGCTTTTGACAAACAAGTAAATGAAATAAGGATATCAACAATTTCGTTTATAGGCAACATTTCACAAGTTCTATGGCCTTGTTAGCAAATAAAATTTATCATTAAGTCGAATGCTGACTGACGTTTTTCATGCTAATTGGTAGGCCATTATTTACAAATTAAATTGTCTTCAGATTTTTCCGTTTGACAAGGAGCACACGGCGGATGTGACCTGTCGACGGGGAATACTTACTCTTCCATGGCACCTGATCCCACCTCTGATGTTTTTAGAGGTCCTTGTTTGTTCTACTCCCGATTTGTATTGTTTCAATGGACAATGGCTTGAATACTGTTCATTATCTCTATAATTTATTCTCAGATTTCAAAACGACATACACTTGACTGTATATGTGTAGGTTTATGGTTTATAATCCCAGGAACATTAAAAAACGTCTAACAAGAGATACACAAGTGAAATATGAGATCATTAGCACCAACTCTTTCAAAGTTATGGTCAAGTTTCTTGAAAGGAGGTCAAACGCAGGGATCAAGGTCAGAGTCAAAATTGTTGGTACTCAAGGAAAGGT